GACTATGGTTCTTTATTCGTCACATGGGCCTCTACCATATTTGGAAAACTGTTCTGAAAAAAAAAACGCTTCACGTCCTGAAAGGCGCCCTTATCAGATGGGTTTGTCCTGTAAATACAGAAACGTTCTGAATAGACGTTTAATTTGCTTAAACGCCTCCCTACTTGTAGTCATGTGGATAAACTAAGAGCTACTCACCGATTCACCGTGATACCGCAAATTTTCTCCACCTGAGCAAACTGCTTGACGGTCGGTTTTGTCCACTTTGCGAACGGATGGAAATCATCAAAGGTTGCGGGAGTCTCACCACGTGGTCCACCACCGTATACGCTCCAGTACCTAGGCAAATCAACACAATATTTCAGCTTTAACAATTTTACAGTCCGCTCTAGATTGAAAGCAGAAAAATGCAGCTGAATGGCTGTGGCAGAGCGACCTAATGCGTACTCATCAACCTAGGTTCAGGGCAGTGAGCAGCACGACTATCCATTTTGACTAGAATTGAAAGCAGAGATGCCCCTTGACACAGCGATTTTGAAAAAAAAACCAGAATAGTTCACCAAAAACCAAAGCAATCGGAGTTCTTTCTGCTCGCTGGCTCTTATGTTGTGAAGGTTTCGGATATCTCCCGTTCGAGTTATAGTGCCCAGGCAAAATTTAAGAGACGACAGGTGGACGACACCGCTTCTGTCGAGTTGAAAAGCCATACCCATATGTCGACAAAAGTCAAACGACACTCGTAGGGGTGTAGCAAAACAGGAATTGGGGGCGGGGCGGTTTCGCCGCAGACCGGTTTCCGGTATGACCCTAAGAAGTGCAGCAAATGCGCCTTTCGCCACAGACCCCAAACCCGCTTCGTTTCCCTCTTAGCTATCGTCCTTTGGCGCTTATACCCCTATGTTGCAGACACACTTTGTCGAACTCACTGCCTTGAAGTCTTGAGTAATAGAGGGAACTATTCAACCAACGCATCCCTTGCTCCCCCTGAAACATGGTAAGCTTCGTCCACAGTTGCCTCGTCTACTTTTAAAAGTTTAGGCAGACCTACCAGAGTTGAGGTCCATTCACCCAGGCGTTGTTTGTGATTTGACTCCAATCGTAGTAGTTTGTGTAGAAGCCAAGTCCGACACCGTACCTCTTAAAAGTCATTTTTGGCAAAATTCTTAATATGACGGTTGTTATTAGATGGCAGAGAATATAAATATTCATTTTAAAGAGAATTTGAGAATTTTATTTCCTAATGTCGATAATGTTATGAGACGAAGAGGATGAGGAACATCGCCGGTTTGATATCCTCGCAAGGGCCCCGAGCCAGCTCCAGGGTTCGTATTTAGATCAAAGAGGTGTTTCTACGCCCGCCCTAGTAGGGCTGCGGCCTCGTAGTAGGGTTATCTTTGAGGCACTAACCTTATGGCTCATGGCAAAGCTCTCTGCTGCTTCCAAATCTGTACAAAAGTCAACTGATCAGGCTAAGGCTGGTGTCAGAGTGTACGATCAGTCGCAGGTTTCGCGCGATTCGCGATCCCAACGAATCCCGGACTCTGACACCAGCCTAGTGGGTAAATTGAAGCTAATGAAATGCTCAAGGAATCTTTGGAACAGGCTCCTGTCTCGTATTTGTTCTTTACAAGTTGGCTAAGTCAGTCGTTAGGTACCACCCACTACTAATTATTGTGACATGACTGCACTCCCTGTAGTTGCTGATAGTAATTCTATTAAAATCATAATCTGTGTAACCACCAAGCGCGTCCACAGAAAGTACGGAAATAAATAAATAAATGAAACATGGGATGATAAGGATCTTCGATTCCTCTCTGGTCAGATGTGATAGGTTCTCCGGTTTCCCCAATCATAGTACACCACAATTCCTCCCACCAGAGATTACTGGAAGGTCTATTAAGCAGCAGATGATGATTCTGATCAAATTACCACAATGTATAGCATAGGATCAAACAAAATCTTCAATCACTAGTCCGATACCTGTGGCAGCAGAAATGATCTGATTGAGGAAGAACACATTGTTTTGTGGATACGGATCCCAGTTCACTGGCGATGTCACCTGAAATTATCGCTTGGATTACGAGATCCTCTGGTGCTATCGCAAGGGGCATCTGGTGCAATGTCTCGCGCAGCCTGTAGTAATTCCGATTTTGCAGGAGGTATGTAGCAAGCTAAGAGGTGCGTGGATGATTTTGGTTTTCACTTATTGACGAAGACGTAAGCCCACGTAAACTAACGATACATAACAAACGAGCCAGTTAGTGTAAAAGTGCGCAAACGCCCCCAGAAGCATTTTTTGGCCAAATTCCCAGATGAGTTCAGAGAGGAGCGCCAGTTGCCTTTCACGAATATTTTATAGAGTGAAGATAGACATATCTACTGATAAAATGATGACTAGAGCGAACTTGAACCCTTCCTGTTCTCGATACGATCCCAATGAAGAAGCAGTTGGTGTCTATCGCAATTTTTCCAGCAGAAATTTTGAAAGCCATCACAAGGTCATTAAGCCTTCCTCATGCGAGGAGAGCAGGTAAAAAAAATACTGCGACGTTGAGCCTCATTGGAAATCAATTTCATCACCTGAAGCCAGGAAGCAAACGTATAGCTGATGTAGGTTTACCGAAGTAAAGCTACTCTGACGCCCTCTGAAAAAGGGCGAAATTTCACAGCGACTACCCACAGCTTGCTGGCAATTAGGCGCTAATTGCAATCTTATTTAGATTTCGGGGCATCTTATTTAGACGTGTGCATCCTATTCAAGTCGTGGCTTACATATTTGCTGAGACCTGGTTAAGTCTCAGAACGCTTTTTAAAGGTGTATATTCTGACTCAATGTTAGCGATTTCATTCCTACATTACTGCTTTTTTCTGATTTTGTAATATCTACTCCTTTCGGGTGCTATCGCAAGAGAATACGGGTTGGGCCATCCTTAGGCTAAAGCTCAGTGAGGCAGGAATTATCATGGAAAAGATATAAAAGGTTTCGCAATCTGGAGATTCTTTTTTCACCTGAGGCTTTACGGCGTCAGGACGAAATGCCCCCGCATATTGCGATAGCGCCTAAAATTGATATCAGTGCAGACGTACAAACTATTGCACCAAATAGTCCTTCCCATATCCAGATAGCAGATTTTAAGTGACTGTGTTTGCCCTAGAGATGTGAGCGAAGCGTTTAAGGACCCATCCCAGGTAGGCAGCTATAGAGGGATGGCCTGAAGGCCTGTTCGTTCTCGTATGCTACGCGCACGTCTCACCGCTTGCCCTTTGCCTCCAACTACTGAGTATATTTCCCTAGACTTTCGTTACCTGAATCCAAACTTTATTGACTTTGACTCCTGCAGAATTCAAGCCATACATGATTTCAGCAAACTGCGTTGTTCCATTCTTGGTGGACCGAACTTGTGGAGTCATATATACCTCTACGCCCATACGCGCTGAAAAATTCCTGCATTACTTCCATGGGTTTTCGGCTTTCTTGAAAGGGAAATACCGTGAGTATCAAAATTAAGGCTGCTTCTTCCCACGGCAAGTTGATCTTGCACGGTCTTGCACAATCACGTATCCGCCATTATGTCAGGGTACGCTACCCCCCCCTCCCCCACCCCCATCCCCTGCTACAGTTCGTTTTGATGCGGGATCGCCTATCGTGGTCGCAGTCATCATCATAACTTTCGCCCCAGGTAGGAATCGAATGAACCCGTAAGCCCGCATCTCTGGCTAGAGGTGCGGGTACAATTCCAGCCTGGGGCAAAAGTTTTGCCTGTAACTCACCTTTCTTGGGAAATATTCGCAACGCGAGCTGGCGCGTTGAAACAGAGTTAATAAACAAAACAAGTAAAAATTAATAATAGCATATAGCATAACTACCACTGACTTGAAAAGGCTTGACGAATGTTCGAGACGGAGATCGCATCGAATTGGCCTTTCCCTCGTGGATCGTAAACTCTGAAGAAATGCTCGGTATTCAACAGATTATTATAAAAGGTTTCAACCCTCCGATGTCAAGCTAACAATTCAGAGCATACGGTGGGGGGAGCCTTGGTGTTCTGAAGTGGGCAGCGGTAAAAAAGGCATTTTTGTATGGGTTTTTTTTTCGAGCGGGGCGATATCCCTATTAAAGAGTAATCGTAGGAAGCGCCCTGTGCTGATTATTCTTTGCGGAAAGCATCTTCAGCGGAATGATTTTTGAAGGAGGTTTTCACAATAGAGAATGAATTTCAAGTGCGTGGCGCATCGCAGAGGCGAATAGCTAACGCAAAGTGCTTTATATTGTACCTTCAAACGAGGCAGCCTATTTCGCTACTCTAAAATGAATCTCAATTAGATCTGGAAGCCTGATATGTGGCGTTTTATTGGATATCTGAAGCTGATCACCTTACAATCTTGAGGAATCAGCTGTTGAGAGTATTAATCGTTATTCCCATGAATTGAGCGCATCCGTCTTCCAACCT